ATCTTCTACAAATAACATGATCATGGATTCAACGGCACTTGGGTATGTCTTTGACGTAGAACAAAATAGGTCCAGGCACACTGCCTTGAGGAACTCCACTTTCAACCCGAGTTCATGGAGAGCTGGTAGAGTTTACAATGCCACATTGCTTTCTGTTGTAAAGGAAGTTTTCTATCCATTGGAGTATATGGCCTGACACACCTATTGCTTTCAACTTAATAATCAATCAATCAATCAGGTAACTATATATATAGCATCTACTGGACAATTGTTGTCAAATTCGTTAGTGAAGTCTAGAATCTCTAGTAGCTTCTGGTGGTGGAAAGTTCTGGTCGAAATCCATATTGCTCGGTACATAGTAGTTTGTTTGCCATAAGGTGTTCCATTTAAGCATCTCTAATTATTTATTCCATTATTTTTCCGACAACAATATTAAGGCTGATGGGTCTATAGTTACACGCCTGCTTTTTACATCCTTTCTTGAAAATTGGCTTCTTATTTGAGAGTAATAGTAAAGATAATCCTTAGTAGCTTGCTAAATGAGGAACTTGCTTCTTTCAAAATTTTCAGAAATAGTTGATCAGGGCCTGATGATTTGAATGGGTTGAGTTAGTCTAGTTTTTTGGTTATCACATTCTCTCTATTGTCAATCCACTCTAATTTAGCAGTCTGGGACTGGCAAAATTTACCTTATTGCACCCTGCATGGCGTCTTCATTAGCCCACATGGTGCAGAAAAGTAGGACATAAAACTCCATTCATATCATTTCTTTTTGCATACGTTCGATATACGCCCAATCTTATATGAATTAGATTAACATTCGCTCAGACTAGTTAGTTGTAGTCTGGAGATCACATAATATAGTTGCGTCCCCTTTGCCAGTCAATAGTGAGAATGTATTATTTTTCATCAAAACGTTTCTTTTGAAATTGAAACCGCAACACACAGATATATCATACCACCTACTTTTCTACCCCGGACTTAACTAATGCGCTGAGGGAAATGTTTCTTGGACAGTCCGGCATCGGCCCGTTCTTTCCTCCTTTTTTGTTAGTCCTAAACTGCCAAGAGATCAGTCTCAAGCTTCGGTTAATTATTGCCCCATCCGACTGAACTACTTTAAACGATTCACAATGTCAACCGCTATAGTCGGTGGGCTTATATCTAAGGCCATGAAACCAAACTATAAGAACTACAATAGCAATGTTCTCTATAGCCTAATTCAGAGCTAACAAATGCTAATAGGCCTAATGAAGAATAACATTTAGCACGTAGCAAATTGTGTAGCATCGTATCGTATCGTTTTGAAATAGGAAGTATGACGAATCGGGTGTGGTTTGGACACGATGATTATATCCATAAGTACTTTTACAGGTGACGTACCAAAAATACATAAAAGTGCCATTTTAAAACTTTTACTTAAAATTGCTATTATAAGTTGGGCTGTAAAACGTAGGCCTACATTGAAAACTTCATGGGGGTTTCCCCAGGCAAGTGAAATAGGCATACCCCCATGAAGTCTCCAATGCATATAAAGACAAAAATAGCCGTAAGCTTGCCAGACATAAAAAAAACTACCACTTTCACTACTCTCACGATTTTGATGCCATTTAAAAATATTAATTGGCTAATAATTTCAAGGGCAGATTCGACTTTGTTAATTTCATTGCTCATACTTAGCTTCATCAAAATCGATTTAAAACTCTAGGTTCTATAAATTTGTAGGCCTAAGTATTTTGGAAAACCCAAATAAGTCTAGACCAAAGGTACCAGTTATAAATATTATAATATATCATAATTCCTATTAGTCCTATATAACTATGAACTACATAGTTTGTAGGGCTTATTTAACAAAAACAAAATCTGTGATTGATAATTTGATAGGCCTACTCAGTTTTCACTCGGGTGGTTTTCTATAACTTTGTTGGTTATATACAAAGTTTGTTCTTCCTTGATCTAGTTGCACAATGTCTTGTTTGTCATGAACCGTTTTGAATATTAAACTAATATGAATATAGCTGTTATGCATAGGCCCTACTTCTGTGGCCGGATACTTTGGAATGCCAGTGTACCCTAGATCATAAGTTAAAATTCATATTGTGATATTGTTAGCACTGTTTGTAAGAAAATGATTCCTTTCATCTATCAGTTAATATATACTTATGAAAAATAAAGTAGACCTGCAGTTATGTAACCTTTTTTTAAAAGTGAATTTGTAAAGAAGGCAATATGGCACTTTACATTAACCTGCTATTTTATGACCCCATTTGACCTTAAAAATTATTCGTATCAGGTGGAGGCAGGGGGCGTGACAGAGAATAAACAACAAACATGGCGGCTGATACCAGGAATATGTCATTCTGTTTGATAATTTTGTTAATCGTTGTTTTACCCTGTGATTTGTTCAGTATTGGAGATGTGTCTCGGACATTACATATTCCCAAGCTATCAGATGCGGAAAGATTTGGTAAAAATATATATCATATGACTGTTGACAGCAGTAAATTTGTCGACAATGTTGATAAATATTTACGACGTGTGGTTCGAGACACTTCAGCGTCGCACAATCACGTCTCTTCTTCAGTGGTATGTATTATGAGAAAATAGGCCTTGTAATTTGTATGACATACGTAATTAAAAGTATCAGTATAATACCAATCAGTACAAGTAGATAATGTATTGTTTGTTTGATTGGCTTTATGAAATGGCAAGGGGTGTCTTTTCGGTCAGTAAAGTTTAGATCACTGATTGATCAACTCATATTGAAGAAAAAGAGAGTGTTGACCCTCTCAGACCTTTGGCCTTCGCAGAAACCAATGTTATTCCTCAAAATTTATGAAAATCTTTGATCTGATTTGTAGCATATGGATGAAATAGGTATTAGAGCCTTATTAAAATGCACTTTAGAAATCAATTCTGCTAAAAAAGGTCTGGAAAATCTTGTCAAACTCAAAGTTACATAAGATGTAGAATGATACATATTTCACAATTATGTCAATGTTACAAATTCAAATTCTTATCCACCACGTTTAATAATTTAAAATTAGATGTCCATTCATTTATGAGGTAGTATTCCTAACAGTATGAATAATGATTGATAAAAGAATTATCTGCAATGAAATTCATGTTTTCTGTTTGTGTTAAAGTAGTTGCCCGCTTTTTGGTATTATAACAAGGTCATTGTCACCTCAGATCATTTCAACTTATTATACTTAACAAAACATAATATTATCCTTCCTTGTTGTTATAACTGTCTTTCCTTGTTGTAATAACTACCAAGACCTACTTGTCTATAAATATCTCATTGACAATGAAGCCATGTGATAATGAATAATTCAAACAACCTTTTTTTTTAATGTTTACAGCCTTTCATACACGTTACATTGTTATATAAAACATTTCAAGATCATTTTTATACCCATTTGTTTATGATTTATGAACCATTTATTAGATTTTATTTGTCATTTTTGCTTAGCTCAACCTGCCCAACATGCTCTTAAAGGGACAGGTTCACCATCCGTTCAATAAATTATACCTTAGTCTAAGAAATTTTTAGATAAGCTATTAATAGGGTTCACAGCTCGTCTAACTTTGAGCCTTCAAATCAATGTGTGTCTAGAATTATCTGCATTTAAAATTTAAAATGAAGACTCATTTTTTCTTGAGACCTACCTGGTGTCATAATTTTATCCCTAAATAGTCTGATTTTTTAAAATTTTTATGTTTGTTCTAAGAGGTAGTATTCCTTTAAGTGAACTTAAACATACTGGTATATATAATAAAATGAAGTTGTGTCTTGTTTGAGTTACTATACAATTGAAATTTTGAAACAGTAACTGCAGGGTGAATATTATTTAAATTATATTTTTTACAGGCTAAGTTGAATACCAGCCTGTCCACATTGATTGTTCATTGGGCAATGAATGATAGTGATGTAATTATAGCCCTTGCTAAAGAAACAGGCAGAAATCTATCAGCAGCTAGTAGTCTGTTAATTTCTAATGATTATGGTGAAACATTCCAAGATGTCTCCAATAGATTGATGGTAAATTCCACACATCAAGCCATTATAGACAGCTATAAAAATTCGCCATTGTATAACACACATGTAAGTCTTGTTATTTTATCTCAAATGTTGTAATTTCTGATGGGTAGGTGTCCCAGATCGCCCACTAATTGTGAGGCAGGGTTGCTGACCATCACTGAAGATTGTCTGATATATTTTGCCATGGTTTGATTTTGTTTTATTAGTAAATTATAGTTATCTGATAATCCCATATTAGTGATTCATAACAATTGAAAATATTTTTAATTTTCAAAATGCACTATTGGATATCACATAAACTTACAGTATG